CGCTTAGCAATTAGTCACCCCGTCTTAGGGACTATTTCGTAACGAGTTTGCCGCTGCTAGCTCTGACTAGGTGGAACAGACAGAGAGAGAGAGAGAGAGAGAGAGAGAGAGAGAGAGAGGAGGGAACTTGGCGAGGTGGAGGATACACAACACGCTCCTCCGTGAGATCTTTTCTTTTCTCCCTCTTTTTCTTTGCTCCTCCCTTTTTTTTCTCCCTTTTCTCTCTCTCTCTCTCTCTCTCTCTCTCTCTCTCTCTTTCTCTTTTCCTTTCCCTTCGTTCTCTCGTTCGTGGTTTCGAATCTGTATCCGGTCGATCTTTGGTGTTCGAACTGCCGAATAAAGGAGGAAAAAGAAATTGTATTCCTTTCGAGAACACCCTTCGCCATTCTATTTTTAGACGGCGAGGTGGAGATCCAAGGGGAAGCGAAACACCATAGAAGTCGCGGTGCCGCGCGTCTCGCGTTGAAATTTTCGTCAGGGTGTGGTGGGAACTGTTTGACAGAGGCGTGCAAGGGGGATGATGACGATCAGTGAGCGAATCACTCGATTCGTAGATACGAATTATGCGCAATTGTTCCGTATGCGGCTGGTGTACAAATGTACGCGACAAAATGATAGCACACCCAGTGTTTTTGTCAATTATTATTGAACACATAGATATTGTATGTCAATTTGTGCAACGAAAATCATAACACAGGCCACGTTTTATCTGTAAAAACGAAAGATTCCTGAAACATTCGGTGCAACAAGTAGCACGCTATTTTTAAAAATCAGTTTCTGTTCAAAGTCGGTATCTAATATTTTGTAGAGCCTCCAGACTTTTTTTTTAAAATTGCAATCATTCGCCTTGGAAGAGATTTATACAGCTTTTTAATTCGTTTTTGATTTATTTTTTTCCCATTCCACTGAAATACATTCTTTTAATTCACCTATGTTACTGAACTGTCTTCCCTTGGCATAAACGGCTCTCCCCATAAGTTTTCTATTATGTTATTCGTGTCTGGAGAACCGGCTGGCCATTTCGAAAGTGGGATATTATTAACTTCAAAATATATGACTTTATCACTTTTGCAGCATGAACCGCCGTATCATTCAATTTGTTCACTACTTAGTTCTAAATAGTTTTTGGCAGTCAGTTTATCTGAGATAAACTTTATATATATTCTTCCATGGTATCCAATACCAGCTCATGTCATTATACAAATAAATTAAAAGAATGGGAAGAGATAAATAAAAGACGAGTTAAAAATCTTTACAAGTCTCCTCCAAGGCGAATGATTGCAATTATAAAAAAGTCTGCAGGTTCTGCAAAATATTAAATATTGATTGTTCTTGGTCAATTGAATGAGCAGAAACTGAGTTTTAAAAGTAGCGTGCTATTGTTAATTTGTCGCATTTTTCAGGATTCCGTTTGTCTTTGCAGATAAAATGAGGACCGCGTTACGATTTTGCAGAAATTGACATACAATACCTACGTGTATTGTTTGTAAAACTACATTTTTGTAATTTATTATTGCATAATAATTAACAAAATCACTAGACGTGCTGTCGATTTTGTTGCGAACTGTACGTATTGACTCGCGCGTCGAACGCATTTAACGTTACACGTCATTTCGACGCGTGTTGCGAATCAACGAGAACCGAATGGGAATCACGATCGTCGCCTCCATTCACGGTATTACGCTCGACTCATTGATTGTACTCCCATGGATGCTGATCTCCTCTCTGTATCCGGGAATTCCTCTTTGTCGCGCGACATTCGATGGTGTTGCATCATTGACGCGAAAAGAGCTACGTATGATTACGTAGTAATTGGCTATAGCGATAGTAATTTGTTTCCCAAGTCGGTCGGTAGTGATATTCTATCGTTGAACGCGTGAAATATTTATCAGTACGTGTAAGTACAGGACAAGTGGCACAATTGAGCAAGAGAAGAAAGAGTAAAAATTTTTTCTCTAAAGTGTTCGTTTTCGAGAAGATCGAATTTAAACATTTATCAATTACACTCTGATTTGTTGATCTAATTCTGGTATTGGACAGGCGCGAATAATTGACACGAGGACATTCTATGCTGATTGTAAGCGAAAAGTGTAGAAATCTTTTCGTTTGAGGCGTCGATTTTGTTTAAAATGGTAAGACTTCGAGTCGCCTTGGCACTCGATAAATGTTCAAAAATTCGATCTTCTCGAAAACGGAGGAAAAATTGTATTCTTTACGTTCTTTATTTATTTTCTTACTAGAGTAACCTCTCACGTCTAGAGTTAGCCAAGTTCAAGTATAACATTGATAAATTTTCAAAACTCGGTTTTCTCAGAAAACGAGGAGACTTTTGACGAAGAAATTTTGTTTCTTCTTTTCAACTCGGTTTCTCATGCAGAGTCACTTCTTAGTCCCACCTTTTTTGACACATCCTGTACGTTACGAGCAAGTATAAATTAAAGATCACGTAATTGCTTTAGTTAATGTGACGAAAGAGAAAAGGAATTTGTTAAACTGTCTTCGCTTGAAAGAATTAACGTATCATTTCATTTCATTAAAATGTAAATATGTACATATTTAGGGCCAATGAAAGTTAAGTTACATTTACATCTGAGATGTATCGAAATTTAGTAAATTATGATTGAAAAGGAGACAATGTATTCTAACTCATTTGCAACAACACTCGAGATGATATAAATCGTACTATTGGCGGGACGTTTTTCGCATACTGTTACAGGGTAAAATTTCTAAAAAGAAAAATGGCGAGAAAAGTAGGATATTTCCAACTTCTTCTTCAATACTCGTATATAAATATGATATACAAGTTTTTTAAAATTAAAATTTATTAAATTTAATAATTCTCCCAATCAAAAATATTAATTTAAATTTTATATTAATTGATATAAAATTCTATAGGGTCTTATCGTCTCATAAAGAAATTTTAACATTTTCATTAAAATTTTAAATTCATAATTTACATAAGAGACAGTATATATATATTTCATTTCAGATTTCATTTTAAAAATCAATTGATCATGTTACCTTTGTACAGTCAGTTACACTGCAGCCATTAAATTATTCATTGGGCAAAATTATTTTCAACGAGACATGTTTTTGATAAACAGGTGAATATATTTATTTTGCCCAATTCCTCATATAAATATATATATTAAATATATATTTATATATATTAATAAATTAATAAATTAATTTATATATTTATATATATATTAATTTATTAACATATTATTAATATTAATATATATTATTATTAATAATAAATCATATATATATATTTAATTGTTAATATATTATACAAATATTTATTACTAATTCAATCATTATATCTTATTTTTTAAAATTAAAATTTTGTTTTAACAATTATATATATATATATATATAAAATAAAAAATATAACTATATATATATAACTAAATATATATAAACTATATGTACATAATAAAAAAAAATTTTTTTAATAACTATATATATATAATAAATTTTATAAATTTATAATAATCTTTAAAAGAAGAATTAATAAGTTATGAAAATTTTTTCTATCATTAATTAATATTACTAAAATCATATTTCCGATTTGTATCGAATGTTTCCAACACACGCGCATTCGTGAAAATGGTAACATTTTATACTTGCCACTCGCGCATTACACATCTTTGCGCGCACCGCGGTTCCGTGGCGATGGTGTCGATGGGAGCTGGTAGTGGGAATCGCGATAGTGGTGGTGGTGGTAACGATGTGGTAGGGGAAGCACCCACACGCGTCGCGTACTCTCGCACACCTCTTGGACAGAGCATAGTCAATTCGCGACACCCACTGTGATCTAGGTATCACATGAACGGGACGGGACGGAGTTCTTTTCGTTTAACCCCTATTCTCTTTCTTTCTCTCACTTCTTCCTTTCCTCTGTCATCTCATTGCACGTGTGCGTGTATGTGTATGTGTGTGCGTGCGTGCGTGCATGTGTCTCCCAGAGTGGCGACACTCTGAAGAAGAGGAGCTTGCCGTGAACACGCGAACCCTCAGCATCCTCTATTCTCGAGACACCGTGCACATACACACACACATGCACGTAAGAAGCACGTATGAAGCAAGTGTGCGCAGAGAGCGTGCGCGCGCGCGCGCGATACACGGTACATCGGGCACGTAAACGGTCACGCACACACGCACACACAGGCACATAGATGCGAGCACGGGTCCCGGTGCTGCGGCAGCGTGGTCGGCTATCCCCATAAAAGCGACAGACCCGACCGGGCTGCGGACAGTTGTCATCGTTGGCTACGTCGGCGCAACGTGTCTCTCTCTTTGTGCATCGAGCCCGCGTTTCAGCCTTTCCAACAGTCTAGATATACACCTCGGGGTGGTAACACGGAAACGACGCGCGGTGTTTATCGTTAGTTCCGCGTTCGACGGCATCTCCACGCGTACGACACACCTGCGCGCGGTGTTTATACAAGAGGGGAAACCGCGTGAATTGATACACGCGCGCGCGCGCCCCTTTGAACTCGCGACGACAGTAATCGACGAGCAACAGTGAAGAAGCGGTCGTTGAGAGAATTGTACTACGATCCCGTGATCGATCGATCGAGGACAACCGAGTAAAAGAAGAGGTCGATAAGATCAGAGGTTTGTTTCGAACAGATAACGTGGAGGATGGTATCGGTTGAAGTCGAAAATCGGCTAAGTTAATCTGTCTAGCTGTCTCGGGTCTCCTCCTGCCCGCGAATCGAGACGGTGAAAATACCGATAAGAGCGGCGTGGCTCGATCGGCTTTTCCTTCCGTCCCGGCGATAATCACGCGTTACACGTGACTTGGGAACTATTATAAGAGAGAGTAAGATTACGAGCCGGTAATACCGAGTGCAAGCGCCAGACAGAGCGACGCTTCCGCGGGCAAAGAGCCGTTCTGGTGTCCTCTCTCGTATTTCGTACGTATAGAATAACCCACACGGTTACACAGTTTATTCGCGCGCGCGTGACAGAGAGAGAGAGAGAGAGAGATTGTGTGTGTGTGTGTGTGTGTGTGTGTACGTGGTCTCTGGCAGGCATGGAGATGCGCGTGCACGCGCGCGTATAAAAGCGAAAAAGCGACTCGCCTGTGGCGCAAGCGCGAAAGCAAAAGCTTTTTCGAGCGAACGAGCCCCGCGTGGAGGAGAGAGAGGAGAGACGGTAGTGTGCCGATGATCAGATACATCGGATTCAGTGGCGGCACGGGCGTAGGGAACAAGTCGAGTAACAGCTTCCCACCAGTCACTCAGTCACTCACGATCGGCTAGTCAGTCACGGCAGTCACGCGCCGACCGTGTCAGACGCACGCTGGTCCGTTGGTTTCGCGTGGAAAGAGGTCGGCGGTCAAATAGAGAAACGCCGAAATACAAAACGGGTGAGGAGAACAAGAGATATCGTGACGCGATCGATAATCGTGCCGCTCGTTGCCGGATTTATTTCACTTTTATGTAACTGGCGATGCATCGCCACGCGTAGAGACACGACACGGGATAGTTTCCCGGTATCGGTCACGTTTTGGCTCGATTTTTTTTTACTGCCCGAATCGGTGAAGATCGATCGATAATCGATACACATACTCGAATCCATTGTTTTGAAATTTTTCGGAGTAAGTTCGAATTCCTTCGTTCCTTTTTTTCTTTTCTTTTCTCTTCTCTTCTCTTCTCTTCTCTTCTTTTCTTTGTAGAAGTTAGATGAAATTAAACGTGACGACAACGCAGTGATAGGATGCGGGATATAGCAGTGGGACGACACTTCGTAGGTTAAGAGAGTTTGTGAGGTGCGTGATAGAGTGCGCCGGTTAAAATCGTGACAGAGAGCGAGAGAGAGAGAGAGAAAAAGTGGCAAGCTCCACGGTAGAGCTCCAAGTCGTCTCGCTCGTTCGTGTACCTCTCGTCGCGTCGAAACTCTCTCGTCGCCCGTTGTGCACCGCCTTATAAAACGCGCGCGCAGTAACCACGGAACGCGCGCGACGGCCACGGTGAACGGGAAAGAGCGGCAGGAGAGTTAGACTCGTAGAGCGAAAGAAATCTCTCGATGCGTTCGGTGAGAAAAGACAGACAGAAATAAATAAATAAATAAATAAATAGCGATAGCGTAAAAAACGAGAAAGCCAAGAGAGGTGGCGAGAGGTTTTATAAAAGAAGGAACGAGGAAGGAAGAATATAGACAAAAATCGCCTTCGATATCGTATCGTATGTGTTCGAACTTGGAGTAACGATAGGTAGATATATAGATAAGCAGATTGATAGACAGACAGATAATTAAAGAAAAAAGCGAGACTACGGACCGTATAAGCGTGTGTACATCGGATGCGCTCGTTCGACCGTGTCTCTCGAGAACGGTGCACGATACCTCCGCGTTATCTTGCTGTAAATAACACACAGGCATCTTTCCAGGTTCGCTGCTGGATTGTTTCGAATCATTGTCGTTACACGTTCGCGACCTGTGCGCGCGTACTATCGCCGCCCGGTGTTGCTCCGGCGTTGTCGCCCGCCGACATTTTTTCTTCGTCGTCGTGGCAACCCGCCGTCGCACCGTCGTCGTTTGTGTCATTATCGTCGCTGTTACCGTCCGCGAACCGCGGCGGCCCTCTTTTGTAATCGTCGTCGTTGTCGCCGGCGCGTCGCACGCCGTCGCACGCTCGAGGAGGGAAACACGAGAGGAAACGATAGGGAAAAGAAGGAAGGAAGAAAGAAAGAAAGAAAGAAAGAAAGAAACAAACAAAGAAAGCGAGAAGAATCGAAGAATGATGGTGAGGAGGGACGGCGCGCAGTGTCGTAGAGAGTGCAGAAAGTTTTGTGCAGTGAACGTTCGTTAATAGAGCAGAGTGGCCGCGAGCGACGAACTGAGACAGAGAAACGCTCGTCTGTACCACGTTTGCACGGTGTGCCCGAGTAAAACGGAACGGACGATCTGCGAGGAACAGAGCTCCAGAGAGTGAGAAAGAGATAGAAATAGTAAAAATACGGGAGAGATAGAGAGAAACTTAGCCGACGCGTTGAGAAGCCACCACCCGTGTGTGCACACCGAGTGCCCTCAACACCGTGAGCGCGACAGAAAGAGAAGGGACAAAGAATTGAGAACGAGAAGAGTGGATATTTTTCTTTTCGGAAGAATATAACATCGTCGTCGCGTGATTTTTTTTTTTTTTCCTTTTTAAACTATTTATCAAAGATGTATCTCCACGGCAGTTTGATGCCGATTTTGTTGGCCGTCCTCTCCTGCGCCGTGATGGTTCGTGGACGCAGGATCACACCCTTGATCGAGGAGGACTGGGCAAAGAGGCCTCATCGTGCCGCCGGTAAGTCGTCGCAGAACTTTCCAATTTTCTACTTCTACTTTCTACTACGCGCTTTCAGTTATCACCGTGTTTGTTAGCACCGTCGACCGTATCTGCAATTAATAATGATAATTCTTATCGAATTGAATAACTTTCGAGGCACGAGCTTCTCTGACCGCACACACCGGTGTGTGCGTTGTGCGTGCCATTGGGTTGTCGGTGATTTCGTCAGAATGCGAGCAGTTTCATTTCCTTTAAAGGTTAGGGGACGCTCGAAAAATACCGGACTTAATCGTGACTTCTTGGGCGACAGTCCGCCGCATTTACGTAATGAGAGTCACGTGAAAATGGCGGGAATCGAGCCTCTTCCCGATTGTCTCGTTTCGAATTGGCGCTCGATCGGCGTGGCATTCGTTCTCTCTTTTTCTTCTTTTTCTTCAAATTCTACGGCCTCGCCGTATCTTGCTGCCTCGCTCTGCGATTGCGTCATTCATCGTGTTAATAATTCTCCGCCACACGATTGTACATTTCGTTTCAGCTTCGAAACGAAATAATTAATAACGAAACGTGTTGGATGCGACAAACCAGAGAGGAAGTAACATACTGACTTTTAAACACACACCTTCCACTGACCCAGTTGTTGTAAGAACGAGTTGCTGAATATGTATCGTAGTTACTATGCGATGGAACTATGAACTCGGCCTCTAATTCGAACGTTTTTTCGCACTTGTTCTTGCATGTTCTTCAGTTCCGTCGTACCAAGAACGCAAATACGTTCGAGCGTGCCCATCACCTTTCTGCGATCATTCCAAATCGATTGTTATTTTGTAGTTAGACTCGACGCATCGACTTTTTGATTAGTATCATGCGCCGTCTAAGTATTCGACAACTGGTTGATATATTATTATTATTATTAAAATTATTATTTATAATAGATAAATATAGTGTATAATATTACATTTATATATAATAACTATATAATATACAATATACTGTAATATATAAATATATAATTTATAATATATAAATATAGTGTATAATATTACATTTATATATAATAAGTATATAATATATAATATACTGTAATATATAAATATATAATTTATAATATATAAAATATATATAATATATAATATATAATATATATTACATTTATATATAATATAATATACTGTAATATATAAATATATAATTTATAATATATAATATATAAATATTATATTTTTATAATTTATAATATATAATATATTAATATTTATATATTTATAATGTATAATAGATAAATATAGATAATATGTTATAATTGTCATTGTATTTTTGAAATTTTCCAACTGGATTCAGGATAAGCCTCTTCGAAGAAGTCATTTTCCCCGGGAAGTTACGCTACGTTCATTTCTCATTCATGGCCATCTCGAACAATTTAAACAATTACTCTGTGTGCCGCGCTCATGTGTAAAAGCACGAATATAGAAATACGTCTTGTCGGACTCAGATGTTTTTTCACGAGTCGGCTGGATTTTTTATAGTTAGTATTTACTTAATTTCCGAGGCAGCGAGGATTTCTCGTTCGCAGGGATTGATCGCGCGTTCGCTGCATCGAAGAACACATCGAACAATTTGAGCAAAAATGTTCCGAGCGAGGAAATGCGGTTGTATAACGCAGGGATTAATTACAGTTGCTTCTAGATTACGTAGCGTAATACTCACCTTTGATAACGATCGAATTACCCACGAGGTATCAAGTTCAGATTCGAGTAGTCAATTTAACGAAGGAACACGAAAAATCCAGGCAGGGAAAACGGTCGTACTGCATCGAGACAATTAAATTCTTTTTGCAATAACAAGGTGCGTTTTTTGTCGCGATCGTCAGGCTGCACATGTAAAATAAACAAATGCTTTTAGTTGCACTCGTGCGAAGATTTTTGAGAAACATAAACCTCTCTCCGTGAGTGGCCAGACAATTTTCTACCCGTAGACGAAAATAATCGTGTCCGAATAACAAACGTAATAGAAAATAAATGGAATTTAACGAAATTTCAGTTCGCGATTGATTAAATCTGCCATTTGCAGAGCACAGTGTGAATCGAATCCTCGTGTTTCTCCTTCGACTTATTTCGTTCACGAAATTCAGTATTTTTTGTTTCCAAAGGAGAAATTATTTTTCACAATTTTTTTATAATTTTTACGTCATAAACTTAATAATTTTTTCCTAATCGAATAATAATAATGTTACTAACAGGATACACTACATATATAAAACACAAAGTCTCTATAGATTTTTTTATTTAAATATACACACATACAGATATATATATATATATTTATTAAATAAATATATATATTTTATATTTTAAAAACATTTTACTATATATATTATATATACTTTTACTACATATATAAGACACAAAATTGCTTTTTTTTATTTAAATATACATATATATATATTTAAAAATATTTTACTATATATACTTTTACTATATATATAAAACACAAAATCGCTATAGATATTTTTTATCCAAATATACACACACATATATATATTTAATAATGTATGTAATAATATATATATATATATATTAAATAAATATATATATTTTATATTTTAAAAACATTTTACTATATATATTATATATACTTTTACTACATATATAAGACACAAAATTGCTTTTTTTTTATTTAAATATACATATATATATATATATATATATATATATATAAATATTTTACTATATATACTATATATACTTTTACTATATACGTAAAACACATAATCGCTATAGATTTTTTTTTATTCTCCATTTTCTTCCCCCATTCTTCAAGTAGAATTCAGATAAATGACATTCGTATCGCGTTTCAATATCTAAATGATTGAAAGATTGATATTACATCTGTGTGTGTGTGTATACATACAGTAGATGAAAGCATTAAAGGATAATTTTAAAAACATTTTACTGTAGTTCCATATTATTTTGTTGACACAAGCGCGCCTCGCGATCTCCATGCGTATCGATAACCATCTGAAACTTGCTGATATTTTTCAGTTAATTAATTAGTTTTGAGAACCCGCCCGACGAACTTACGCCGTGTTTACTTTTACTTTCGTATTGCGATAACGCACACGCCAGACGGAACGTGTCTGTTAAAGTCCGTGATGAGATTCTTTATAGGCATTCGCTGCCTGCCGAAGGTGCGCTATTGGAAACATTACAATCGATTGCGGAATTTTATTTGTTGTTACGTGGCGTTTGTCGCATAATTGTGCAATGTTTTTGCAGTTTCGATTGTAAAGCGAGCCTTCGTCGAACAAGGTCGGACTCGCGAGGACGTGGCGTTGATTTTTTTTTTAACCTCTTGCGCTGGAACGACGTGCCACGCACGTCGAGAATTTCTTGCCCCAAAATTGCAACATTTTCTCAGTTTTAAGCATACCGAAATTGTAACCCAGGCTAGACGAACGAGGAAGTTTATTACTTCCTAATAATTTCTATCCAGCGACATCATATCGACGAGTTGAAAAGAGAAAGAAAGCGACGAATTCTTGTATACGGCTCGGTCACTCGTTATGGTCCGCAAACCAGTTGCAAGATCGGACGGGAGGCCGATTTTGTTTCAAACAAACGAAACATTTAACAGTTCAAAGTAACTGGCGATTTTCGTCGAATTTTTGTACTCGGCGTGTTTGAAAAGAATTTTACGTGTGTATAATTTTTACCTAAAGTAATTTCCGCCGAGTCGTATATAATTAATTATTTTCGTACAGTCATGGAAAAAGACACGGGCTATAAAAATTGTAGATGTAGATCATAAACAATTATTTCAGTTGTTTTTATTTGTTACAACTCGAACGAATTTCTTTATTAATGGATCTTTGATCCTTTTCGATCTCTGCACCTTGTGCAATAATCGTTGAAATTAAACGAAATTCCGTAGAATAATATTTTAAATTGCTAGCCTGCATTATGATTCGTGCACAAGGATAACCAATAGTCTTGCAAGTTTATGCTATGAATACGATGGTCAAATAAGCTTCTGCTGGCTAGAGAGACGTTTAAAGTGTTCTAAAGAAACAAAGTGAGTACGTAAGTACGCACTCCAAATGAGCTTCCCACGTCATTTTCCATATTAGCAAGTTCGAGAGCTAATTAGATTTCAAAAACACAGATGACATTAATGATTTTTAATTGTTTTTTTTTTTTTTCTCTTAAAATCATACTTTTTTTTTTTGTAAAACAATTACAGATCAGACAATTCTAAAAGGAAAATTCTTCTTCAAAATTAACACAGAACTTCTGTAAAATTGTACAAAGAATTCTGTTAAAATTAATAAAAATAAATGCTTCTTTGTCCGCCAACAAAAAAAAAAAAAAAAAAAAAAAAAGAAAATTCTTTTTTTTCCGCCAAAAAAAAAAAAAAAAAAAAAAAATCCTTTCAATAAAATAGTAAAAATATGCGAAGAAAATTATCACAAATAATTGCCGATAACGTTAACGTATAATATTTGTAAAAATGTACGAATGGACGCAATCGTCACCGGTAAATGATAACAATTAGATTAAAAATGCTAACAATTGTCACTCTTTTCTATATATTTGTTTTTCGAAAAGAAAAGGATAAATGAAATCTTTTTAACGAAATGACAACACGCTTGATCCGATATCGGCTTAATTCGATTTAAGGCACGAAACTCGGTATGTCTCCAGTCGCGTTGGCCGCGCAGATCGTCGTAAAGAGAGATCCAAAGTGGTTCGTTCCTTATTCTTTATAAGGATCTAACAGCGTCCAGTATCGTCTGCAACCTCTCTTTCTGTCCCGCTTCATTCTTCGAAAGGCTCTTACTTCTTACTTTCGTTTCATACCTGTTCCCCACGGTTATTACCTTATCTAGCTGTATACGTTGCCTGTACACCTCTGTACAGAATCCGCCACCTCGAAAACTGTATATTTTGAGTGCTCCTTGGTTCGAATAGTGCCGCGAGATTCGCATCGACGGCTTTACGCCGTTACAAGAGCCGAGAAACAAG